CACAGTGGTATCGAGGACATTGAACTGGATCAAACCGGAGCCTGGGACCTTGAGCGTCAGGTCTCGCAGCGCGATGGACGGCGCCGAGAGAAAGAGCTGGCCCGAACCCGAAACGACGAGCGAGAGCGCGGCGTCGGTGCTGTTGACAACTGTGAATGGGTCCATGACCGCGTTGCCGGAGCCCGTCATGGTGACGGCGGCGAGCGACTGCGACGGCACATAGACGTCGACAATGTACTTGGTGGAGGTAACCTGGAACGGATTGGCGTACCACGCGGGCCCGTTGACACTGAGCGCACCGTCGTCTTCGTCAACGTCAAAGGCGCTGAGAAAGCCGTCGGACTGCGAGCGCACGACAACGGACGCCTTGGTGGCGCTCGTGGCGTGGATGAAGGCCGAGTGTCGGAGCTTGAGACTCGAAAGGCTCGATGACGAGGCGTTGTAGACTTTGGAGGGCCACGAAGCAGTCGTCGATGTCATGATGGGAGGAGGCGAAATGGAAAATGACCAAATTTCACAGTATGTTTCTCGTAGGCACCGGACATGTGACCCACACAAACACTCTAGAATCTGACCAGCAATCTCATTTCGTTAGTCGATTTTTGAAGTTGAATTATTTTTCCAGTTGGACTCTGCCGTAGGTGTAAACGTGGACACGCTTTCATGCGTGTTCGATGGGAGGCTAAAAACTCCATGGCGCTGCCTCGCTCTCCTGCAGTTCGCTGCGATTGAGCACGAGCGATAACGTGCGCAAAGCCACGTATCCGCGGGCGCTATCACAGATAGTCGCCAACTGTTGAGGCTCGTCATTGATTGTGACGTATCATTTTCGGCAATTTTCTATGCGACTTAAGCAGCTCACGTTAAAGCGGAGTGAGAAGCTACAGCCTCGGGATCTATTGGAAATCGTTTTCCTTTTATGTTACCTTGCAGCAACACCTTGCCACCACTAATACCGAAGTCCCCGTTGGGACGCTCTGATCGGTCTCTTCTTCTTCAGCAAGTACAAGGCACTGATTCTTGAAATGATGCGACAGACTTTGCGAGACAAATATGCAACAGTAGCGACACCGCACGCTTGCACCGGTGTACTGCTTGAAGTTGTGCTCCATGTGATGGCTCTAATTCGTGGCATTTAATATCCATTTATACAGGTACGTAGAATCGGCATGAATGCCACATTTAATACGTGGTGCCTGCTGCCAAGGGTACATAAATTGAATTTATGTACCCTTGCTGCTTTCAAAACTCGGTATCACAAGCAGTGTGCACAAACAAGCTCGTCGGTTTGTGGCGATATTTCGAAAAGACACGCGCCTTGATTTCACTCTTTTCAAATGCATCGAACGCACGATCGCGGCAGCCCGCATCAACGCTATTTATAGGGTGTGATCACGTGGCATGTGCCGAAAATAGCTTGACATGGGTCCCACATGACGTGGAATCCGAACGACGCGGCGATGGCTCTGTGTGTCTTTGGCACCGCCGAGCTGGTTTCTGCCATTGCGAGCTTCCAGCGCGGGCTCCACGGCGACACGCTCGACCTCCTGCACGAGCTCGACGTCGTTGAGATCCCGTTCGTCTCGGACGCGAGCCTCGTTGCCATTGCGGAGACCCTCGCAATTGCCTTTGCCAGCGTGCACCGCGCCTTTCTGCCATGGCTCGCTCGCCGCGGCCCGGCACCGCTCGCGCACGTCTGCCACGTCAAACACCTCCGCCACGAGCTCCTCTACTTTGCGCTGGCGTACGGCCGTGTCGACATCATGCAGCACCTCTCCAAGACGGCGCGCATTCTCTTGTCGCCCGCACGCCTCCAGTTGCTCGCGTCCTCGGCGGCTCTCGCGTCGTCCGAGGTACCGTATACCACGCTACAATCATTGCGCGACGGGTTCCGACCGCTGCGAATCGACGTGTGCCGGAACGCGCTTGGTGTCGCCTGCGTCCAGGGGTACCTTCCGCTGGTCCAGCACTTGCTCGAGCACCGGATGACGGGACGCGCATGGGAGCCATCGAGCGCCGTGTTGATCTGCTCAAGAGGGCACCTCGACGTCGCGCGATACCTTTGCGACCACGCGTGCGCTGGCTTTGGCGCTGACGCCGCCGCAGCTGCCGCTGGGAACGGCCACATGGATCTGCTCGTGTTCCTCCTCCGCCGCGCAAGAGACGATAACAGCGTTCTTGACGCTGCGCTGGTTGCTGCAGCGAAGTACGGTCGCGTCGACGTCCTTGCCCGTCTACATGCGGCATCCTATGACGTGGCGACGGCCGCGATACCCGCCATCACATACGACAAAGTGGGCATCCTGTGCTTTCTGCTCTCACACCAAAGCAACTGCGTGCCTGCCCAAGCGCTGGAACACGCGGCGATGCTCGGACGCCTGGATGCGGTGCAGCTATTACACGAGTATGGCCTTGTTAGCCGCCGACATGAAGCGCTTCTCGCCGCCGTCACCAACGGGCACGAGCCCATCGTTCGGTACTTGTACTCGATCGCGGCGTCCGACTTGAACACGGCGGTGGCCATCAAAGAGGCCAAGCGAGCCAAGCACCGAGAGGTTCTGCGTTATCTCAAGACGCAACGGGCGAACGACTGCCGCGTCCAATGACGTGAAAGATACCATGAGTATATAGTCGATGCATTGTACTTTATGTTCAGTACTATAAAACTTAATGAGGGACATTCAATTCTTCCTCGCCAGATTGCAATACTGCTACTGCTACAGTTGAGCCCAACGGGTTCACGGCCCGCTGCCCTAGTCCTACCCGAACCCCTTCCCGGAACATTTTCCAAGAAACATTTTAGCCAATCAAATGCAAGTATTTCTGAGCGATCCAACTGAAATGGCAAGCGTCCTGCGCTGCCCCGATCTCGTCCGCGCCATCGTGGCCTACCAAAGCGGCGTCCACGGCGACGTGCAGCCGCTGCTCCGTCTCCTCTATAGCGTCTGCTTGCCGCGGCCAGTGGCGCCGAGCCTGCTGGCCTACGCCCGCGACCTCCGC